CAATGGGTTACTCAAAAGTGGATTGGACCTTATAATTCTAAATATTTTTTAAAAACCGATGGCCTGCTATGTCCAAAATAACATCAGTTGTTTTATAATCACCATTATAAAACAACATGAAGCCATTCCATTGGACTTCAATTCCATTGGAATAGTGCGTCCTGCAGAAGCCAACGTCGATGCACTCTTAGCACATCCTTGAGCCATTTCCGGGACGACTTCAATAGATGGCAGGCAACTGAATGCTTTTTTTACTAAGCATTTTCATATTCGTGAATTGGCTTTCGTAGCAAAACAGAAATTTCTAAAAAAATGAAGAATAAAACACGGAAAAGAACTTTTTATGGTTATCCGGATTTGGTAAATCATCACTTGATCCCATTTATCCAAGCTTATCTACGCAACTTTAGTTTTCTTTAAAACAAGTCAAATGAGATATGATTTAAGTTTTTAATTGATATATAGAACAACAATGTTCCAATATTTTTTATGCATAAAAATGCCGGAGAGTCTCTCAAAACTTATTCTCCCCATAATAAATATGTATAAAAAGTATTTAATTAATTTACTAATGTGCAAGAATTTACTAAATTGCCTCAAAATCTCTTGGATTAGCATGCCAGAAAATATTGTATTGCGAGTCTCCTTCGAGTGTCCTTTCAATTCAAACTGTCAACTGCTGGTTAGCACAACAATAGGCTCTGTAATGAGAGCATTTAATACGGTGTTGTCTTTAAAATTTTAATGATTGAGTTAACCGATGGTGCGGTATCAATGATGCTGTAGATAAGTCGGTTGATACAGGCCTCAATCTTTTCCGTCTTTGCAATCTAGAAAGAGTTTGCAAAAGTTTAGCCACCGGGCAGGATTCGAACCTGCGACCACCTGCTAGTTGTTGCTAGGCTTTCGCTCACTATATGCAGGAGCTCTACCGTTGAGCTACCGGGGCATCGACTAATGCTTTCTCTTTTTCCTTTTTAGATCGTTTATCCCCCGCCTAAGCGTTTTAAATGCTGCTAGGTGAATCATCCTTACATCTCCATCCCTACATCAGACCGGTCCCTCGGTCAAGCGCCATGACCGTGGATCGGCTGGTTCACCCAGCAGCAAGTGGGGATCCCTGTTAGCGGCACCAGAAAGAGTTTGCAAAAGTTTAGCCACCGGGCAGGATTCGAACCTGCGACCACCTGCTAGTTGTTGCTAGGCTTTCGCTCACTATATGCAGGAGCTCTACCGTTGAGCTACCGGGGCATCGACTAATGCTTTCTCTTTTTCCTTTTTAGATCGTTTATCCCCCGCCTAAGCGTTTTAAATGCTGCTAGGTGAATCATCCTTACAATCTTTGCCCAGCAGAGAATGAGTTCTCTAAATTATTAAAAATTAAATTGAGAATTCCTATTAATGAAATTTTTATATAATCAGGCAGTTGGGCTATAGCTATTTCTCTCCTTTAGCTAGTGCAAAAGGGTAACCTGCGGCTGGGAGCGAACCAGCATCTTCAGTAGACCGGACTGACGAGTTATCCTCTACAGCATAGCCTCGGGAATTATATGCTTTACAATAAAGTAATTCATTTTTTTATAAAAATATTTTAAATCGTAATTTGATAGAGTTCCGGATCCACTATAATATTTGGAAACCCTTAAATCATTAATGATTAAACACCTGTTGACTGGCAAAGTGTCTGCTGACAGCTATCATTTTCCTTATTCATGCATGTAAAATTTCCATTAAGGCACTTTATATTATACGTTGTTGGTTTAATTTTGATGAAATAAGCATTATTTGTGAGTGAAGAGCAGTGTCGAGACGTTCAGAGGCTTTCCATGTACAATTATGGTGATTTTCGCAGCACCTTAAGCATATGTAGTTGTATTATTCAAACTTTGCTATTTCATTAATGGCATAGAATTATTAAATCCTATTAAGTGTGAGTAAAGTACTAATGTTTGGATTATCTAAATCTTAAACATAAAAGAATTAGATAATAACCAGATTATAAGATAAAATCGAGATTAGAGAAAATCTTACGTACATCAACTCACCAAAGTGAAAGTGACGTAACTGCTTAAACGTACAAAAATGTTTATAAACAAAATTGAGAACCCCTACACCTTTGGGAGATTTACTAAATTTTATTTAGTAAGTTAATATTCTACTTTTCTTATGAACTATATATTTTATTAACAATCAAAGCTGAATTGATGTTGGCTCGGATATCAGAAAAATAATTTTAGAGAATTAATAAAATATTTTTGAGTATTTATTATTTTAATAAAATTAAATTTAATAAAATTAGACTAATAATTTTAAATTTAATTAGCTAGCAAAATTTAATTATTTATATACCCCTTTTAAGCTTAAATTAATTTTGATGATTGTTCATGGGAAATGGATTCAAAATTAATTTTTTATATTAAAATCGTACACTTCCCCTTAAATTTGGTGAGAATTGTAAAATTTTGGTTTAATTTTGGGCAATAAAAATTTATTTTTGGAATAATCATTGGATCAGTTTTGGGAATTTTTTAGATGAATATTTAGTTGTGGGAAAATTATTTTATTTAATCAACTAAAATTGTACAATTTTAACCTAACTAATTAAGGGGAATTGTACGATTTTAATATAAAAAATTAATTTTGAATCCATTTCCCACGAATAATCATCAACATAATTTAAGCTAAAACGGGAGCCGTAAAGTTATGCACTAGAAAAGTGTGCACTGGAAAGTTTTGCAATAAGGCAGAAATCTGTGCACTAACTTGGAATTTTGTGCAACCATGCGGAAATAGATAATAGGCGGTCAATCCTGAAGACCTACACCCCCAAGACCTACAACCTGAAGACCTATTTACCTTGAAGACCTATAACTTTTTGATCAACACAATTTTTACTCCTTATTTCTTTGCAAGTCTAATCGGGGGATTTAAAAGAGAAACTAGGAGGGAAAAGAGGAAAAAGGAGGGAAAAAAGAGGAACTAGGAAAAAAAAATCAAAATTTTCTGCGGCGCAAAAAATCCTCCTGCGGGGTCTCGTCCCGGCCTCTGTTAAGAAAAAAAATCCCGACTCGGGATTCCGAAAGTGCGATTTTGCCGACCTCTAATGTATACAATTTGATATTTATTAAATTTATTTAATTAAAAATTTAGCGTTTAAATGATTCATTTAATAAAATAAATTTTTATTTTAGAAACGGCTACAAAAAATTAATTTAAATATAAAATTAAATTATTAATTTAATTAATTTCATTAGTTTATTTATCACTCAAAATATAAAAATTAAATTCAAAAAAATTAAAATGATGCCTAAATCTGCCATATTATTTATTTTATCTTTAATTTTAAAATTTTCGTCATCATCAAATTGGGTAGTAGAAGGAGATGTAGAGTGCAAAGAAAATATTCATGGATTAGGGGAGTTTTCGCATCTTCTACCAGAAGCAATCATTCACTTCTATGAAAGAGGTCGTGGCCGTATATATTTTCATTAAAAAACTTGATTTAATTTCTTAATTTATATACAGATGGTGGTATTGGTGATCCTGATGATTTATTGGATGGACCTGTCTTAACTGACATTATGGGGCATTTCCAAGTTAAAGCAGATGGCGTCTATGAGATGGTAACTACTCCAGACCCTTACTTACAAATTGACCATCTATGCTATACACCAACATCTAAAAAGCCACTCCGAATGGTAAAAATCAAGGGACCATATAATAAAAAAGAAAATGAATTTTCTCAGTTTCTCAGGAAAATGAATTCTCAGGAAAATGAATTTTCTCAGGAAAATAAATTTTCTAAAATTTTCTCAGTTGGGTTCTAGTGTAATTTTGTGTGCACAACCATAGTTGAGCTGTTCAAACAAGATATTGTAAAGCATATAGCTACAGTACTGCACAAAAGTATAAGAACACTTTTAAAAAGTTTATAACTTGGGACATACTTGACCAAATTGTACCAAATTTTGTATAAATATGTGGATTAGAAAGAGAAATACGATTAAATAATTAAAATTTTAAATTTTTTAAAACATCTCTCCAAAACTTAAAATTATTAAAATTGCGTGATTTTTTTACTGCACAAAAGTATAAGAACACTTCACAAAAAGGATATTTCCAAGATTAGGAAAAATTTACAAAAATTCTCGCAAAGATACATAATGATATTATGAAAAAATAAAAAAGAACTAGACCCATATCTTTACCCGGAACCGAGATCCTGAGACCCCGAAAATCAACGTAAAGCAGGGTTTTTCAACTTTAAAAAATATTTTCGACCCTTATGGCTTACTGTAAATTTTTATTTTGGGCTCATTCGAAAGCCCTTGAAATTTGCTACAAGATAGCAATAATCTTTTTTTCCAGAAAAAATTTTAAAGAGAGAAGCAAGCATTAAACTTCTGATGCAGAAAAAAACGCCTTAATGCCCCATAAAATTCCCCTTAAGGTCGCTTTCGAAGTTTGAATGCATGTACCTCTCTCTAAAATTTTTTCTGAAAAATAATATTGTTGCTATATTGTAGCAAATTTCAAGGGCTTTCGAATGAGCCCGAAATCAAAATGGAAAATAATCCGTAAGGGGTCGAAAAATTTTTTAAAAGAGCTTTACCCCTGTTTTACGTTGATTTTCGGGGTCTCAGGATCTCGGTTCCGGGTAAAGATATGGGTCTAGTTCTTTTTTATTTTTTCATAATATCATTATGTATCTTTGCAAGAATTTTTGTAAATTTTTCATAATCTTGGAAATATCCTTTTTGTGAAGTGTTCTTATACTTTTGTGCAGTAAAAAAATCACGCAATTTTAATAATTTTAAGTTTTGGAGAGATGTTTTAAAAATTTTAAAATTTTAATTATTTAATCGTATTTCTCTTTCTAATCCACATATTTATACAAAATTTGGTACAATTTGGTCAAGTATGTCCCAAGTTATAAACTTTTTAAAAGTGTTCTTATACTTTTGTGCAGTACTGTATTAATTTCCTAAGGCTGAGCAGTAGGCGGCGTGGTGTAATGGCTAAACATCAGTCCGGTGTACTGAAGATGCTGGTTCGCTCCCAGCCGCCGAATAACCTTTTGCACTAGCTAAAGGAGAGAAATAGCTATAGCCCAGCTGCTTTACTATATCCAATCCCATATATCCAATCACTTGCTTTGGTACTTACTGAATTTGATAGGCTTTAACTTTTTGATGCCTAATCTAATTCAAATAAATCCTATATCTTTCGAAAGCCTTCGAAAAGCGGTATCTTATTTTATAGGATATTTCAAGTCTGATCACTCATTAAAAAGTTATCCAGTTATTTGTCCAGTTAATTGGTGGTTTTCACATTTAACGGATTATACCTTTTTAACGAGTGATTTATAAATTTTTAAAGAGATCTTAAAGTTAATCTTAAAGTTAAGTCTTAAAGTTAATCTTAAGTTAATCTTAAAGTTTTCATAACTTAAACAAGTTTAACACAATCTTATTTTATTTTACTGCCTTTATTTTTATTCATTTATGGCACCCCAAAAACATATTCAAACACCTCATACTGATTTTTTGAACAAATCAGCAACTAAACGGCCTTTGACAACTTCTTCTCCCGGCCTTCCTCCCAAGCGTCAACAATTTCTTGATCAAATTTCTAGTTTGAATTTTGATCAAATTCAAGACGACACATCCATCTCCCCAGCAGCTCGCACAATTATTTCTCAACTTGGTAACCTCCTTAAGACCGCAGCTTGCATTATTTCTGACATGTCCCAACAACAGACTATTTCTACACTTGATATTGACAACGCAATCTCAGAAAAGGAGAGGCAGCGTTCTATTGTAATTTCTGGCCTTCCCACTTCAGTACAACCACTTCCATCTTCCCGTGCTCAAGAGGACCGAAATAATGTTACATGTATTCTCGATAAGTTGGGGATCGAGATTTGCCCCCAGTCTGTATATAGGCTTGGCAAGGACCACCCAACCCGAAACGGTGCTCCCCCACTCGTAAAATGTGTTTTTCCAGCTTCTTATTTCCAGAAAGCCACACTCCATGCTTGGTCACATCAACGTAATACAATTAAACAACATTCTGGTTTTCATAATTTATATATTCGTGAATCAATACTACGGAGCAACGCAATGCACGTAAGGAATTACAAAACAAATGTAAACAAAAACGGATGGAGGACAATGGTGATTGGGTAATTTACGCTAATACGATCATTCTCCGTGAAAATATTTCTACTTTTCGTAAAACCCTTGCATAGGATAAATGGGGGAGACAAAACTTTGCCCGGGGAAATTCATTTTCTAATAAAAATTATCAATTACTTTCCCATACATCTATTTTATCACCAATTACTCTAACAAATACTCAGTGTAAAGATGCAATACAAAACGCACACAGTAATAACTCTAAACATAATCTTAAATCGATTCTTTTCAATAGTCGGTCCCTAATTAATAAAATTACAGAGTTTAAAAACTTTATTTTACTAAACTCTTTTGATATTATATGTGTAACTGAAACTTGGATTCGTGATAATCTCATACATACGAATGAATTAACTTTCAATGGCATATTCTCGGTTTTCGCGTGCAATCGTACCACAAAAACAAGGGGTGGTGGCGTCCTAATATTAATTAAGAACCCTATTAAAGCTGTTGAGATTTATAAAGAATCTCAATCTGGTTATGAAATTATTATAATAGATATAATTAAAAAAGGGTTTAACAATGTTCGGCTTATTTGCATTTATTTCCCACCTAATCTTAAAAATACTTCAAATGTTAAACTTATTAAAACACTCACTAAATACTACACTCACAATACTATAATCTGTGGGGACTTAAATAAACCAAAAATAATATGGAAAGAATATGTCTCCTCAATAGCAAATGATACATTATTTTTAGATTTCCTTATAAATTTTGGATATAAACAACTTATAACTGCTCCTACTCACATATCTGGGTCTATATTGGATTTAATTATTACTAATAAAGACAATCTAATTAAGGAAATTCATATAGATAAAGGCTTTTCTAATTCGGACCATTTTTCAATTCGCTTCCATATTAATATAAGTAAGGACCATAATACAATCAATCAATATAGAAATCTTAATATTGAAAATATTAACCGCATTAAACCTATTCTAGCATACTATTTAGGATTTAATGAAATCTCGCCCAATATAGAAAATACGATTAATGAGAAATTCAATAACTTTTATAATCTTGTCCAGTCTATTACAGAACAATATATTCCGTTAATTTCAGTCAAAGAAAAATCTGGTTTTAAATACCCAAGCTACATAAAAAAATCAATTAAGGATAAGCAGAACCTTTTTAACCTCCTCAAACAAAATCAATGTTCAAAGAATGAATATAATAAGGTCTGTAACAGAACAAAGTATCTTATTAAAAACTACTTAAATTCCAAAATTTCTTTAATCTCCAATAATAGGAAATTAATTAATAATTTTATTAAAAAATCGTTAAAACCTAAACAAAATATCCCTGTTTTATTACATGATAATAAATATATCTTCGATGATGCCAAAAAAACCGAATTATTTGGAATTCATTTTTCTGAAATTTTTAATAATATACGTGGGTCCTGCTATGAAAAACCTCCCTTACTAATTAATATTGAGAATACACTAGACGATATTGATTTTGACATACTTACCGTAGCAAATACACTAAAGGCTCTTCCAAATAAAAATTCTTCTACTCATGAGGATATTTCCTATAAGATTCTAAGAAACTGTTATGATATTTTTGCACCTAATCTTTGTGAATTATTCCGGATTTCTCTTGATTCTGAAGATATTCCAGAAGAATGGAAACATTCGACAATAATTCCCATATTTAAAAATGGAAATAAGACCAATATCCAAAACTATCGTCCTATATCACTCACCTCAACAACTTGTAGGGTTTTCGAAAAAATATTAAGTTCTGAAATATTAAAATTTTTCATGGAAAATAATCTGTTTTCGCAACACCAATTTGGTTTTATTCCCAAACGTTCCACAACAACCCAAATGATAATAATTCTTTCCAAATGGTATGAAGGATTAATTAACAATCAGAATACTGACATAATTTATTTTGATTTTCAAAAAGCATTTGATAAAGTCCCTATAAACTATCTATTAGGTAAATTACATTTTTACGGTATAAGGGGTAAGATTCATAGATGGATCAAGAATTTCCTTTACAATAGAACATTCTCTGTTAGAATTAATGATGAAACCTCAAAAATCTTTTATACTCATTCTGGAGTACCGCAAGGTACTATCCTAGGTCCCCTTCTATTTACAATTTATATAAACGACCTTCCAGCCAAATTAGGAAATCAAATTACTCCCTCACTATATGCTGATGATCTAAAAATAACTTATTCGTACAAAGTAAATAGTAAACTACTACAAGATGAAATCAATCTTGTTGACGATTGGGCTCATAAATGGGGATTGGCTATAGCAAATAACAAATCCTATGTACTTTATGTTGGAAACAAAAATCCCAAAACTCCCTACTTTATACAGGACCATAAAATAGAACAAGTAGAATTAGTAAAGGATCTTGGTATTTATGTAGATAACAAATTAACATTCAAAAAACACATTGATATAATCTGTAGAAATGCATTCCTCCGTGTTCATCAATTACTTAGAACAATCCATACCTATAACCCAAAAATTTGGGGAAATATTTTTAAGACCTATGTATTACCAATACTCGAGTACGCATCACCTATTTGGAACCCAAAGCAAAAAGATCTAGTGAAAAAATTAGAAAAAGTACAAAAATTTTATACACGTTCCGCACTAAATAAATGTAGAAAAACAAAACTAAAATATAAAGATAGATTAATAATATTCCAATTAGAACCACTTCTTTTCAGACGATATTACTTAGATTTAATCACTATTTATAAAATATACTTCAACCTCACAAGTTTAAATCCCATTGAACTATTTTCGCTAAACTCACGTCCCAGTAGAAGACATGATTACGTAATCCAAGTTTCAAGAAAAAATTCTAAAACAGCCAATTCATTCCTTAACAGAACTATACAAATCTGGAATCTCCTCCCAAAAGAGATCTTTATTAATCATACGATAACTACATTTAAAATCCATTTAAGATTATGTTTACCACATATTTTAGAAAAATTACAAATATCAATTTAATTCAAAAATATTTGTATTGCATCCCACAAATGAATGGATGCTTTTCTTACCAATGGGCTTTTTCTCACTCTAATCCTTTCAAGTAAAAAATGATTTTTATACACATTAATTTTCCTACATTCACTTATTTTTTTCGACTTATATTTTCCTTCCTCGACTTATATTTATAAACATTTTTGTCTAACTCCCCAATTTAAACACAAATTATTTTTTGGTTTTTAAACACAAATTATTTTTTTAACACAAATTATTTTTCATTTTCTAAACATACTTAATTTAATTCAGGTTAATCTTAAAGTTTTCATAACTTAAACAAGTTTAACACAATCTTATTTTATTTTACTGCCTTTATTTTTATTCATTTATGGCACCCCAAAAACATATTCAAACACCTCATATATTTTTTTTGACTACATATATTTTTCATTCATATATTTTTTTTGTCTCTCCATATCAGCGGTATATTGTATATCCTTTGGAGATTTGAATAAATTTGAAATTTGAAATTTATTAAATTTATTTAATTAAAAATTTAGCGTTTAAATGATTCATTTAATAAAATAAATTTTTATTTTAGAAACGGCTACAAAAAATTAATTTAAATATAAAATTAAATTATTAATTTAATTAATTTCATTAGTTTATTTATCACTCAAAATATAAAAATTAAATTCAAAAAAATTAAAATGATGCCTAAATCTGCCATATTATTTATTTTATCTTTAATTTTAAAATTTTCGTCATCATCAAATTGGGTAGTAGAAGGAGATGTAGAGTGCAAAGAAAATATTCATGGATTAGGGGAGTTTTCGCATCTTCTACCAGAAGCAATCATTCACTTCTATGAAAGAGGTCGTGGCCGTATATATTTTCATTAAAAA